GTTAAGTGGCAGAATTCGCATCTTCCTTATTGGAGCCCCGGAGTCAGGTACTTCCTTGCTGCCACTGTCAGGTCGGTGGAGGCTGACGTGTGGCTGTGAAGCTGACCAGGTTTCTGCGGCACTTCCAGACTAACATGGACTAGGCAGAAAGGCACGATGAGCTCACCAACCCATGGACCCTACGCATCACAGAACTGATCCACCACTGCCCGTGGGGATGGCGTAGGGCTGAGCGGTGCCACGTGCCTCCGTTGTGGTGGGGTTGCCACGAATCTGGCCCGTTGATGATAGCCAACAACAACAGCCAAGTCCAAACTCTACCCAACGTAGGACCCTGCTCACTGTACCCCCATGGAGAGCTGGAGGCAGGCCTCAGTCTCGACACTTACAGGGAACCAGAAGTGCGTGGCCTCTCAAGACTGTCCGTTCCCATCCTGACTGGTTTTAACCCTCAGGGCCACAACTTAGAATGAAAACAAAAATGAAACAAAACAAAAACCACCACCACCCTTTGTTGAGTGCTCACTATGGAGAGTTTTGGCCTTGAGCTACACAACACAAAATCAGCCATCAAATACACTTGATTATTCATGATGGGGCTTACCTGGTGCGTGCACTTACCATCTGTGACTTCCTGTTTGAACGAATTGCTTTTGCTGCCTAGGTGCTCAGCTCAGCTCTTTATTTTTTTATACTAACAATAACATTTTAAATGGTCCCATCTCTCAAAGTGATTTTAGTGCTGTGGGGGTCATTGCCTTCATTATTAACGAGAAGCAGCGAATCTCTTTCCCCTCAGGATCCAAACAAGTTCTTTCCCCCATCTACGCTGGGCTGACCTAAACTGCTCCTGCTTTGTGTGATCAACTTCTGCTTCTGTGGTGACAGGATTTATTGGGGGATCATTCATGTAGCAGATAACACAGCCATTTAAAATGTACCGTTGATGAGAATGATGAGGGCAGTGAATGTACAAATGCGCTTGACACAATCGATGTATGTATGGATTGTGATAAGAGTTGTATGAGCCCCTAATAAAATGATTTATAAAAAAAGATATACCCATTTAAATAAATAAGTAAATAAAAAAAATGTACCACTGGGTTTTTAAAATCTATTCAGAGTTGGGGTAACCATCCTTACTAAAAGTTAGAGCATCCTTATCACCCTCAAAAGAAACCTTATATATTTCAGCAGTCATCCAATTCACCTGTCCCTCTGCTACTGCTACTCTCAGTCCCTAGGATTTACCTGTTCTGGAAACACCATGCAAATGGAATAGAAGGCCTAGCTTGTCGGGACTGGCTTCTTTCCCTTACCTGCTCTTTCGGGGTTCACCCATATTGCATCTTGTGTCAGTGCTTCATTCCTTTTTGGGGGGAGGAATCATCCATTGTATGGACAGACCACATTTTGTTTACCCGTTCATCATTTGGTGGATTTGGGGTTGTGTCCAATTTGGGCCATTATGAAGAGTCCTGCCATGAACGAACGTGGCCTCTCCAGGTCACCGGTCCTGAACTCTGAAAAGAATGTGTTCAGACTATCTTTTCTGGTGACACTATCTGTTAAACACTGGCCTGCTATCCACAAGGTCACCAGTTCAAAACCACTCCTTGGGAGAAAGTTGAGGCTGTCTGCTCCTGTAGAGTGACAGCTTTGGAAACCCTAGAGAGGGTCACCATGAGTCTGATCAACTGCCTGATCACTGTAAGTGACCCAGGGATCCCTCTGCCCAGCCCCCTCTGTCCCAGCCTTGATACTTCAAGGCCTTCTGTACCGTGGAGGGCTGCTCTCCCACCCTCAGCCTACAGGTGACAAATGTGTCTCTTTGCTTTCTGGCTCTCTAGGTACAGTGGTTTGGGGAGGTCCTGGGTTGGGCCCAGTTACTGCACCACTTTCCCTTCTGTTGGGCGTGCACTGGTCAGAGACAGCCTTACGTGTGGCAGCCCCAGTCTGGCCTGTCCTGGTTTTGTCCACAACCTACACCCACTTGGCCCCAGTCCCAGGGCCCTTCCCCGTGTGTCTCCATCTGTGGAGTCCCTGGCAGGGGACTTCAGAGAGGACAGACCTGTTCTCTTCCACACTGAGACGAGGGGAGGAGTCCCCTGGGTCTGTGGGTGCATAGGGGATGCAGTCACCCCCATCCAAGCAGTGCCTTCTGGCTGTTCTGGGTAGTTCTGGGCTGCCCCAGCAGTAAGGGACTCTCTCTGGGTGAGACCTGGGTTAGCCTTCCAGCTTGCAAACCACAGGGTTCCTTGCGGGGTGGGGGGGTGGACCGCCCTTTGTCTGCACTTTGGTCTAGAGAATGGGGGAGCCAGGTGGGTGGGGGCAGAAGGGGGCTGGGTCTCAGGAGGGGTCTCTGGGTTGCTATTTTGTACTCCTCAGCCTGCCCCAGGCAGGCCTGGAAGAACAGGCCTTCCTCTCAGTCCCTGGTCCCTCTGACAATAGTGTGGGGAGAGCAGGGGTGTGGGGGTGGGGCACTGGCTGTGGTTGTTCCCTCTCCCAAGGACGGCCCTACCTGTTTGACCAGCTCCTCTCTCCCTCCCTCTCTTTCTCTTTCCGCCTTCTGTCCCTGGCTTGGCCCTGGGCCCATCCCCGCCTCCCTTTTGGTCGCAGGAAGGAAAGGTCTCTCAGTCTTCCTGGGTGGGGGTGGGGGCTTTGCTGGGCCTCCCCAGCAAAGTGGTAAGCATTCAGGGAAATTCACACCAAACCAAACCCGTTACTGTTGAGTTCGTTCTGACTGTGGGGACAGAGGAGGGCTGCCTGATGGCAGTTTCCAGAGCTGCTACCTGCTCTCTCTCCCAGGGCGGGGACTGGCGGGGGTGTGGGGGTGTGGGGGGTTGGGTGGGTCAGTAGCTGAGCCACCAGAGCTTCTTTGGGGGAAACTAGTGAAAGGAGGGCCTGCCATCCACAGATGCTAATTGGCTTTTCCTCCGTCCTGGCCCAGAGAGGGTCGGGCAGGGAAGCAGGAAGAAGAGGAAGCAGACACGTGGCCTTCCGTCCTCTCTGGGAGCATGCCTCTCTAGGGCAGGGGTTCTCAACCTTCCTCATGCCGCGACCCCTTCGCACAGTTCCTCATGTCATTTTGTTACTGTTATGAATCGTCATGTAAATATGATAGGCAAGATGTATTTTCATTGTTACATGTTGAACATCATTAAAGCATAGTGATTAATCACCAAAACAATAGGTAATTATATATTGTGAAATATTTATGTCTAATAAAAAATAAACGAAATGTTGTCTTGAAGCATAGGTAACAGTCTTCACGCCAGGTACTCATATGTGGGTGTATCTGCATGTGGACGGATGGACCCTCCCCACCTGGAGACCGATAGAGGAGCGTTGGCTCGGTTCCTAAGACCATCGGAAATATATGTTTCCTGATGGTCTTAGGCGACCCTTGTAAAAGGGTCGTTTGACCCCCAAAGGGGTCACGACCCATAAGTTGAGAACCGCTGCTCTAGGGGGTTTACCTTTCTAGCAGGGATTTCAAAGTGTGCCCCTTTATGTGTGTGTGCAAGAGCTTGTCTGTCTCTATGGATGTGCTTCCTAAGGAGCAGGAGATGGGGGGAGTGTCTGAGCATGGATTCAGTCCCCGGGTAAGGATCTGTGTGCCTATCCTGGTGGGAATCTGGGGCTTTCTCCTAGAGAAGGATGGGGGAGAATCTGCCCTCCTAGGAACGGTCACCCCTTTTCCTGGGTTGGGGGCTCTATGACGCCGGTCCTTCTCCCCCACAGGGATCTGGGTGTTTGTCATCTGTTAGTCACTCCGGTTAAAATTCAGCCGGTTCTCACCTCGTGCCCTGCAGGATCTTCTGGAGAAGTAAGTCCCGGCCACTAGGTAATTGCAGCTGGAATATCTGCCTGGAGGACCTAAACCTCCTGCCTAGTGCCCACACCCTACACCCACAGCTGCCCCACCCAGCCCCACCCAGGCCCTGGGTGCCTTGTTCAGCTCCCTGTGCCTTCTCTAACCTCCCACAGGTGTGTGATGTGCCCCAACCTGCTCTCCTGACTCACTTCGATAATGGGTTCAGGGAGACAGGTGCATGGACTCTTTCCAACACCTCCTGTGGCAAGCTGGGGACCTGGGAAGAGAAGAGTCCAGGTGGCTGCACACTTCCTCTTCATCAGTGCCACCCAACCCATGGCTCCGCACTGCCTTTCCACACTTGCAATTCCACCAGGACCAGCCCCTCTCCCCTGAGTGCTCCCCCCAGCCCTTAGAGCCTCTGTTGTGTCCTTTGTCCTCTGTTTCCCGAAGCAAGGTTTGCCCGTTCAGTCTGGATGGGGGGTCCTGGGATGCCGGAAGGAAAGGAAGCCACCCCCCACCCCTCCAGTTGGATCCAGGAAAAGGGCTGTCTTGGATCTCACTCTATCTGCCATCTACAGACCCAGAGGGAAATTAGCCAGAGTGTGTGTGTGTGTTTCATTCATGTAGCCCACAGTAGAGTTACAGGGCCTCCTTTGGAATGGGCCGCTGCTGATATTGCAGTAATGGAGGAGAGGTGAGCCGGAGGCAAATGGCTGACCCCAGGTTCAAGGTTTCAGAGCTCAGGTGCCCTGGGATGTAGCTAGGCAGCCCCCCACCGTCTCTCAGCAAGGGGAGAAGAACACTGAGAGTTCTTGAGGGGTGTCTGTGTTCAGAGACTCCGATGCCAGCGGTCCCTTCCTGCTATGCCTCCCTGTGTCCCCGAGTATTTCCCAAGGGAAGGAAGGAGACAGGACTCAGGCGGCGTCAGAGTCCCAGAGGCTGGGGGTCCCCGTCCATGGCGCCAGTGTATGGCGGCAGTCGCCGGGGGCGAGTGGATTCCTTCCGATTTCACACTCACCAACTTGCTTTCTTGGGCTTTCAGGGCAGTGCTGAAGTGGGCGCCCCGGTGGGAGCAGCTCTCTGCTGCCCCCACCTGAATCCTGCCCGGAGGTGGCAGGTGTCGGGTTAGGTCCGGCCCCCTCGGGGACTAGCCATTCAGGTAGGAGGCCGCTCCCCTGCTCCCGGGCTGGGCTCTCTTTTATAAAGGGCCCTTGCTAGACGTTGTCCCCCCACTTCGAATCTGCTTCTCAGCTCCTTCTCGAACCTGTGTCGGGTCCCTCCACTGCCTCCCAGTAGCCTTCACCATGTCGTCTGTCAGGGTGACCCAGAAGACCTACAAGGTGTCCTCTGGCCCCCGGGCCTTCAGCAGCCGGTCTTACACCAGCGCGCCCGGCACCCGCATCAGCTCCTCGGCCTTCTCCCGGGTGGGCGGCAGCAGCAGCAGCTTCCGGGGCACCCTGGGCACCGGCATGGGTATGGTCGGGGGCTTCAGTGGGGCAGGAGGTGTCGGGGGCATCACGGCCGTCACGGTGAACCAGAACCTGCTAAGCCCCCTGAAGTTCGAGGTGGACCACAACATGCAGGCCGTGCGCACCCAGGAGAAGGAGCAGATCAAGACCCTCAACAACAAGTTTGCCTCCTTCATCGACAAGGTGAGGGTCCCCCCCTGCACCGCTGGCTGGGCCCGCCACCCCGCGAGGGTCTGCACTTTCCCTCCCGGCCGCCCCGTCTCCCTCCGGGCAGGGGAGTCCAGGTGGCCCCACCCCCTGGCCGCGCTCTCGTGGCTCCCCTGCACTTTGGTTGGGGCTGGGGCGGGGACAGGGAGAGGGTCCAGGTGCTTTGTGACTCTGCATCTTGGGGCGCCCACCTCCCGCAAACTAACCCCGAGGTGAGGTCCGAGCGGTGGATCGTTTTCATCCTGGAATAATAGTCCCAGTGTTTAAGCTTCGGGGCCTAAGAGAAGGCCACGGCCAGTGTGAATTCACCCCTCTCCGCTATACTGCAACGAGGGGTGGGGGGCACTTTTAAAAAACAGAAAAAAAAAATACCCCCCAAACCCTACATAGGCGTTCTAGAAGGAAGAGGGTGTCTGGACTCCAATGGGCTAATATTGATCGAGGCCTTTGGCTCCCTGAGGCCTGGGCGTGGGGGACAGTGAGTCATAACCCCCCCCCCCACCAGGTAGTGGTGTGGGGCGGGGCGGGGCTGGGCGGAGACTGCCCCCCAGCCACGGGGTGAAGGGCTGAGGGACGCCCTCTGTCCACTTGGCAGGTTCTTAGAGCGCCCGCGCGCGTGTAAAGGGTGGGGTGGCATGGGCGTGGGGGGCGGGGAGGAGGCTGCAACGGCCTTCAGAAAAGCCCCCATCCGGGATTCAAAGTCTGCGGGCGTTGGACACACCGCGGGCCCTGTAAAACCCAGAGATTTATGGTTTCAGATAAGGCTTTCCGCCAACGCCCCGCTTCCCCCTCCGCCCTTGTGCCTTTCACTCTTTCCTAAGCTCCACCTCCACGGCCAGGCTCCACTTTCCTCCAGAAACCTCCAGGCCGGGTTTTGCAGCCTCAGGGCCCCCAGCGGGCGGGATGATTGGGCCCCTCCCTGCTGACTGGCTCCTGGGAGGCATTGTGGGAAAGGAAGGAGAGAAATCCTGGGGCAGATCAGAATCTTTAGGAATTGGAGTTCCCCAGGGAACCCACAGCGGCCCTATGCCTGAGCGGTGGTTTGCAGTATTGGAGGCTCTGAGCACTTGATTTTGCATCTTGTGCTACGGGGGATTCCTGCAGTCTTTAGTTCCGCACAACCGAATTCCAGTTTTCGACTTGGTTACCTTGGGCAATGGTAGTTTGTAGATCTAGGATTTTTTTTTTTTTTTTGGCCCATTCAAGGATTTATCTACCCAACCCACTGCCTTGGAGTGGATTCCGACTCCTAGCGACCTTACAGGACAGAGCAGCACCATTCCATAGTGTTTATGAGGCTGCAAAGGGCAACACCTGTGAGGATGGCCCAGGGCCGGTGGGCAGTGTTGCATTCTGTCGTCCTTGTGAATCGAACCTACCCCACCACACTGACACCTAACAACAGCAAATCACAGAAGCCCCCCTCATCTTTCTCTCGCAGAACTGCTGGTGGGTTCGAATCCCCGGCTTTTCTTCCTTTTTAAAATGTTAAGTCATTTTATTGGGAGCTCTTACAGAGATCATAACATCCCACAGTTCAATCAAGCAGGATTGTACAATTGCTACCACAGTCAAGTTTCAAAGCATTTTCTTTCTTTTTGAACTCCTTGACATCAGCTCCTCTTTACGCCCTCTGCCTTTCCCCTGTGCCCCCCCAGGATTATCATATTTTCCCTATAGTAGTTCCCCGACTCCCATATCTTACATGATCCAATCTATCCATTCACATACAATTCTGTTGTTCAATCCCATCGAATGGGGTTATACAGTCATCAATACTATCACCTCCCCTCGACTTTTCTGTTAGCAGCTCAGCTGTTAACCCACGGTGCCAGCTGGGCCCTTTCTTCAAGGCTGTCATGCATGTCAAGGGCTTACCGGTGCTTGGTCCCGTATTAAGTAGTCCATTAGGATGAGCTGGCAGAATCACTTTCACGGAGAAGAGATACTTAGAGAGAGGGGCTTGTGGGATCTACACGGCACCCTTAAAACACCTTCCTCCCCCAAGGCAGCCCAATTTAAAAATAAGCGTACAACTTTGGGTTGGTTAAAAAACAAACCCCCAAACATTCTCCATCTTGGGGCTAGTATGTTATTCTTCCTTTTATAAAATAAAATTTCCATTTTCCATGCCCTAATTCCATCCTAAGATTTGAGGCTTTGACCCGAAGGAACCCAGGGCCTTTGTGTTTGGGGCATGAGGGTTGTATTGTGGTGTGAGGGGTAGGTCAGGGGCTGGGGACCTTCTCCCAGGCCTGCTCTGTCTTTCGGGCAGTCTTCAGCAGGGGAATCTCACAAGAGAGCTGTGGGGAGGAGGAAGGAGTTTTCAGTTTGTAGACACCCCTGGCAGGTGTGGCGCCTCTTTCCCAGCCACAGATGACATCTGTACAGAAACGGGCTGCAGAAAGGGCCTTCTAGAGTTCCTAGGCCATTGGCTGAGGAGACCCGGCTCATGGGGGGAAGCAGCTCCAGGCCATGAAGCAGAGTAGTAGCCGTGGGTGGCTGGGCTCTGGGCCTCTGCCTAGTGGTGCTTTTCAGATGAAGTCTTCCTGTCATCCCCACGAGTCCCCCAAAGTCAGCCCAAATCATAATCATAATGATAATATTACTTGATATGAACAATCTACAATTTATTTTTGGCCCCTCCAATCTTATTTTGAGGGTAAAGAAAAAAGTATCCTTAGGAAACATGACTATTTCTATTGATGTTCAATAGACAATCGAAGTAAATAAAACCTGCTTGCTCCAGTGTAAGTCCCCTAACTGCCTCCTGCCAACCATATTCCCTGCCCAACTCTTCTCCAGCCTGGAGGTGATCCACCCCAAACAGCGAACCGGGTTACTGGATTCCAGGGGCCTTGCTGTTCAGAGAGTGGATTAGAGGAAGAGACAGAATCCTCAGCTTTCTTTCAAGGCCTTGCTCCCCAATCCAGACTCTGAGCCCCGGACCTCCTTGCTCCCTCATCCCCTCTGCAGGTGCGGTTCCTGGAGCAGCAGAACAAGATGCTGGAGACCAAGTGGAGCCTTCTGCAACAGCAGAAGACATCTCGCAGCAACATGGACAACATGTTCGAGAGCTACATCAACAACCTCAGGCGGCAGCTGGAGATGCTGGGCCAGGAGAAGCTGAAGTTGGAGGCAGAGTTGGGCAGCATGCAGGGGCTGGTGGAGGACTTCAAGAATAAGT